GGAGGGGGCTGTGGATCAGGATTGAGGGGCACTAGCCAAGCTGGGGGGCAGGGCTGGGATAGGAACTGCAGAGATCTTCAACGCAGGCAACGGCGCCCTCTAGTGGCCTCAGAGACTAGTCAATGGCAAGCAGTGGCCTGGTCCTTAGCCCAACCAGCTCCCCTAAGGCAGTCCTCAGAGGACCAGCTGCGTCAGACTCCCAGGCCAGGAGAAGGGCATTCCCTGTACAGCAGCCGACTGGGGACTGGCTGCGCCCTGAGCTAACGCGCTGGCTGTTTAACCCCCCTGCAGCACGGCACAGAAGGGAGGAAAGTAACTGATCCCCGTTTCCAGCAGCACAGGGAGCTCTGGCCCCGCGAGCCACAGGGAGGCAGGTGCTGACAGCCTGGATCGGACCCAGGCCCCATCCAACCCAGCATCTCCCCCTCCCCCAGCAGCGACCAACGGCCATTTCCCTGGAGGAACCCAGGAAACATCCCAGGACCCCCCGTGAATTCCTTCCCGCCCCGCAGCGAGCGGCACGCGCCCGGCAGGACACCATTTCCTGGCTCTAATCTCTTGCCTGCACAGCGCCGCTAGGAGATGAAGCAGGGGAAGGAGGGGCCCCGGGAACAAACAGCGTCAAAGCAAACGTGTCGGTGTGTGTCCACGTTGCCGTGTGCGGCTGTTCGTCGCCTTCAGAGAACTCCCCACCGCACACGCGTCTCTATTCCCCCCTCCCGGTCCCCAAGAGCATTGTGCACAGCCGCCGATGGCACCTGTACTCACCTGGTCACGCGGGGGGGGGGGAGCCAAAGCCTGGGGCTACGTCACCTCCGCCCCATCAGCAATGAACGGCCCCTCACTCTCCCACCACCGGCCGACCTCCCTTCACTACAGCCCCCTGCCAGGGCACCGCCCGTCAGCCTTGGGGACCCCCGGGTAAGTGTGTTTCTTGGGGGGAGGGGGGAGGAGCAGGCTATGGGGCAGGACATGGCGCTGGGCTCTTTTAGTTTGACGAGCACAGTGCCTGATCCAATGGGGTTTTAATTTCTCCCTCCCCACCAAGGGGCACGTAAAACCTGAGCTGGGGGTGCTCAGGCATCACTGCAGCCCCTGCAGGAGGCAGTTGGCAGTCGTGGGGTCACCTCGCCCTGTAGCAGCCCCACAGAGGATATAAGCACTAACCCAAGGGCAGCCAGCAGAGATTCTCCTTTAGCACAGCTGGCAGGGGCCTACGAGTCAGAGCAGCAGGTCTGGGGATCGATTTCCTGCCCATACAGCCCGGGCACCGCGTTAGTTACTTAGCGCTACAGTAACCTCAAGGTAGCACTCACGCGACCTCACGCTCCCGCAGCTTCTTCACCGCAGCCTTCTTGGACAGGCTGATCTCCAAGTCGAGCTTCCTTAAGAAATCCGTGGCCGAGAGGTCGTGGCGGGGGGTGGTGCCTGTGCTGGTCATGGAGCTGTTTTTCAGCACCGGCTTCTCCTCTCCCGTGGGGGCCCGCCTGGCTCCTTCCTCCGCCTCCTCTTCCTCTTCCTCCAGGTTTAAGCCATTCGCCATCTGCTTGGGCTCCACCAGGACGGGGATGTGCAGTGTCGTCTTGAGGAAGATGGAGTCACTGGTGTACAGCCGGTTCACCCGCTTGATCTGCTCCATCTGGGAAGAGACCACAAGCACCTGTAACCCCTCCAGGCCTGGGACACACGTCACCAACCCCCATCTCTATACACCAAACAAGAGAACTGCCGCCTCTGATCCGGGGCTTGTTCCCTAAAGCTCCACTGCAGGCTGGACACCTAATATCACTGCGCCACCGAAATGCAGCCACCTCTGGGGTGGAGGACACCAGTAGGCAAATAGAGCAATATGGGCAAGCGTGTGCATGACGTGATCTGGGCTGCGGGTGCCGGGCTCACGCTGGCAGGGAGAAGGGTTAGGGCGTTGCTGGAACTTGAATGCCGGGGGGGAAGGGGAGGGAAACTGACCAAGCCCCTGGAGGATGATGTTCAATGCAGCCAGGCAAGGACTGTGCTGTCCCACTGGCAGGGAGAGAGACACGCCATTGTTAAGTGTGCTAGCTGGTCCACCCCGCCTGTCTCCTACGCTCAGCCAGAGGTGGATGGAGACAGGCTGGGAGTCCATCACCATGGCACGTGCCGCGACTCCAGCCCAGAGACTGAAAGACCCTCCCTTCCGCCTGACTGGCGGCTTGTTGGGTTCCTGCAAAATGAGCTGGCAGGTTCTCAGCATCTGTCACACAAACACAGCTGGGCCCCCTGGCTGGCAGCCCCAGAGCCAGCTCCCCGCTTTCCCGGCTGCTCCAGCTGCAGGGCAGGAGCACACCAGCAGGGGGCAGCATGCATGTGTCATAGGGAAGACTGAACTGGTGCTGTCAGGCTGCGGGGCCTGTCAAGATTCAAACTGCTACGCTCCCAGAGACACTCAACAGCCGCCTGCTGCCTGACCACATATGCAGGCCCAGGCCGGAGGTGATACCGGGGCAGGCTTTGGCTCCAACCACCAGGGGGATTTCTGCAGCAGAAACTGATCCCCCGTGAGAGCCACGGGAACAGAAAGCTGCAAAAACAGGAAATGAGAAAGGGCGTGACTGTGTGTGCACATTTCCAGGGTCACATCAGCTTCACAGGGAGGCAGCCGCACACACGGGGGACCGAGAGGAGACGGCAAGTGCAGGGTCAGAGCCCTCAGCCCTGGTCCTGCAAGAGACTCCAGCCATTCAGCCTCCCCATGCACCCACCCATACCCCCACAGCCCAGGAACACCAGTGGGGTGCCCGCTCCGAGTTCCATGATCAGGGTGCTGGATTGTAGAGTCCTAGGGGCGGGGACCATGTCTTTGATTTCGCAGCCAAGCCCCTGGCTCTGCTCTAGAGCTGTATCAATTCTTAGGATTCATTATGTGTATTGCAGTAGCCTCAGCCAAGAACCAGGAGTCCCCACTCTAGGGGGGATCAGAGGTGCCTGGACTCTGGAGGGGTGACTCCTGCCAGTGCCCCTTTTCTTAGGGGTGCTCATGACACGACCCTCCCTGCTTCACCCCAGATGCTCGGCAAACAAAACCAAAAAGCGGTAACGCTAAGTGCTTCGGCAGAGCGCCTCGTCCAAGACACCCCAAGCACTGTACAAAATGGGGTGGAAATCAATCCGGACCCAAGCTGCAGATTCAGGGCCGACAAGGAGATGAAGGGAAGCCAGGACGCGTTAGGAAACCCAGGGGAAGGATTCACTCTTCAGATATAATTGCTTGTTTTGCATATTTCTTGAGATCACTTAAGAGCATCCTCAGGAGGGCTTGGAATTGGAGAGCTGGTGGATTGGGGAGCATTCACCAGTCCTATCAGATAGCTAGTGCTTTACCAAAGATAGGGCAATAGCTTGTTTTTTGTAATAGAGAAACTGAGGCCCAGAGTGGGGACTAGAACCCAGGCAGGGTGGATACAAATCAATCATTTATTTTTTTTAATCAAAAAGATTGGATGGTTTTTTTTTTTAAATCAGATTTTTTTTTTATAAAATGCTTTTTGAGGAAAAAACCTGTTAAGATACATTATAGCTCAAAGGTATCTCATCATGGAATAGGGATTATAAATTCTAATTCTATAGTATGAGACAATACATTCATGTAATGTTTAAGAAAAGTTTTGTAAATGAGTTCCAATAGTTCATGGATTAGGAACCCAATCTGATGGGGTTCCAGGGGCTTCTGTATAGATTATTTAGGTTAATCTTTCTATCTACCCAATGGGACTCAGTGCTCAGTCTAGAAGATACCATCAGAGATGCTTAGTTTTGCAGTTCTCAAACTGTGGATTTGTGTCTCCAGAGGTAACATGCTTGTTAACAGCAAAAATGTTTTAAAATAAATAAATAATATATAGAGAAATAACAGACCTCAACCCTATTGTCCCTCTGCAAATTTGTGTACACAGAGTCAATCCCTTACCTCTCTCTAAAAATGCAAAGTTTCAAAAAGTTCAGTGAATAGAAGATTGTTGGGGGCGGAATAGATCTGGACAAGGAGAAGTAGTATGGAGATAAATATGAGAAGGGAGGGACAGGCAGTATAAATAAAAGTGAAACTGTTTGAGCAGCATATTCCAGAAGCCTTGAGGTCTTTCTGAGGGTAGCCTTCATTGATTTGAGATCTACCATACCATTCTCTCACTAGAAGGGAAAACCTATAATGACAGAAGGCCGTAAAAGAAACCAGTTTGGGAATAAGAACCATTCAAGAAATATGTTTGCTGATGACGTTTTAAAGAAAGTCACACCAGTGAACTGGTGGAAGTCATTTAAGCCCTTGGATTCAGAGACTGACTGTGTAGAAAGAATATTTTCTTCCTTTGGACTAATTCATTCCAAATTGAGAAATCGTTTGGTACCTGAAAAAGCAGGAAAGCTTGTTTTTCTTTTCCAGGTTATGAACAGGAAAATGAAGGTGAAGACAACTGAGTTAGCTGCAGAAGCCAAAATTTTAAGTTTCTCATGTTGACCTGGTTGACATAGTAGATTTAATTTTTGGTTTTGGTTTTTTTTTAATATTTCATGTATCTATTTTAGTTAAAAACAATTTTAACAAAAACAAACCTAATTTTTAAAAAAACTTGAATGTTTAACTAAATTCAAAAATTCATATGCTTGTTTTGTTAAAATATTATGTTTGCTATTGAAGAAAAAAATCCAGAATACATAACATTATTGTTTTAGTTAAATAAAATAATTTAAATGTCTGTCTGGTGATGTTCTCCTCCTAATACAGCATGGCAAGAAAATCCTCCAAATATTAACGATTAACCTGTTGAATTGGAGATAGTTCACCTCCTAATGACTTCATAAATATCTGCTTCAGTTACCTTTGGTAAATGAAATAACCGAACAGTCATTCATTCTCTGACATAGCTGTAAAACTCATCTGAAAAGTTTTTTAAATAAATCACTTTAAAAATGTATAGTGTGTACCTTCTAAAAATGAAACCTACATCTATCTTGGAGTTGTGAAGAATATGTCTTAAGGTTATAACAACCAACAAGAATGCACTTTTATGTAGAAATCCATGATTAAATCAAGTCTTCCTGACTAGTGATTTAAATAATGATAAAAGAACAGGAGTACTTGTGGCACCTTAGAGACTAACAAATTTATTTGAGCATAAGCTTTCGTGGGCTACAGCCCACTTCTTCAAAAGCTTATGCTCAAATAAATTCGTTAGTCTCTAGGGTGCCACAAGTACTCCTGTTCTTTTTGCGGATCCAGACTAACACGGCTGCTACTCTGAAACCTTAAATAATGATTTAAATCAATTTAATTTAAATCAAATCCACCCTGAACCCAGGAGACCTAGCGTCCAGTTCTCTTCTCCATCCACAAGACCCCAGTCCCCTGCCAGAGCTAGGAAGAGAAGCCAGGAGTCGGGTACGCTGTCCCCTGCTCTAACCATGGGACCTCACTGGGTCCCTCCTGCCAGGTTACCTACACCCCCCCAGATCGCAATAGAAAGCTGCCGCGCAGACCTACCGTGACCCCATACTTGAGCGCCAGCCCCTGCAAGGTGTCCCCCGGCTCCAGGCGATGTTCCACCCTCCTCTCCCTCACCGGGGAGCACATTGACTTGACGAGGCTGCCGTAGGACCGGGTCTTGCTGCCGCAGAGCAGCCCAGCCCCTCCAGGGGACCCCTGCCTGGATGGGGAGGCCATCCCTCCCCCCCCAGTCAGTGGGGCACCAGTGCGGGCAGCAGAGGTGCCTGGGCTATGGAGGGGCTTTCCTGAGGGGTGCTCATGGCAGGACCCCCCTCGGGCAGAGTAAACAATGCGCCTCCCAGCCAGGCCAGGGCTCCCCCACTTTGAGCCCCCCACAAAGGTCTCTCTGCTTTCCTGCTTGTTTCTCCCCTCCCTCAGCCTTTACTCCAGGGCACAGGCGGGGGGGGCCCCAATTTCCGCCCCACACAGCAAAACCCACTCTGCACGGGTGGGGGAGGGGATGGAGGGGGGGTCCCCCAATTTCCTGCTCACCCGTCACGCCAGAGAGGGATACAGGGGAGGGGGTCTCCTCAATCTTCTCTGCCCCCTCCCCAGCTCCTTCTTTACTCGGGGGAAGGGGCAATTTCCCCCTCCCCAGGCAACCAGCCGCTCCCACGGACCCAGCCCCCCTCCAGCGGCCCCTCCCCGGGAGAGCAGCCAGTGTCCGCCACACGCAGCCGCTTGTGCCGCTCAGCTGGCCCCGAACAGCTGAGCAGAGCGGTGCCCGCCCCCTTCCTTCCCACCCCGCGCAAAGGCCTCTGGGACATGTAGTCTCTCCCTGGCTAGTTGCCTGCCCCCCAGGATCCCTGGCAGCTCCCCCCACCCCATAACCATGCTCCGCCCCTCTGGGGCCAAAGAGGTGGCACAGCCGGGAACACTCCGCCCAGCCCAGCCACAAGCCTCGCCTAGGCGGAGAGGGGCCAGGATCCGGGACTACATTTCCCATCGTGCCCCGCCTCCTCTAACCGTCTCAATGCATCATGGGGGTTTTAGCCCAAGGGGCCTATCCGCGCGGAGCGCCCAGAGGCATGCTGGGAAGGGGGGGTCCGGGAAGAGAACCAAACCGGAAGTGCTGTGTGGCCTCAGTTCCCATGGTTACCGCGGCCGGGGGTCGCGGAGCGCCGCCATGTCCTTCAAGCGGGAGGGGGATGACTCGGGCCAGCTGAACGTGCTGCAGGTGAGCGGCCGGGGCGGGCTGAGCAGTGGGGTCCGACACCCCGGCTCCGCAGTACCAATAAGGGGGGGGGGCTCCGCAGGGCTGACCTGGACGCTTCTGGTGCCCAGAGCGACGCCCCGCGACTCCCCACATCCCCAGAGCGACCCCGGCTCCTCCTCAGTCCCCCCAACCAACCTCCCTGCTCCCCGCCCCCCCGGCTCCTCACATCCCCAGAGTGATCCTGCCGGACTCCCCCTAGCCCCCCATTCCCAGAGTGACCCCCCCGACTCCTCCTCAGTCCCCCCACAACCCCCCTGCTCCCCACAGCCCCAGAGTGATCCCCCCCAATCCTCCCAGCTCCTGCGACCCCTCCCCAGCTCTCCCCAAACCCCCATCCCCAGAGCAATCCCCTCAACTCCCCGCCCCCTGGCACCTCCAACCCTCCCACTGCCTGCCAGCCCCAGAGCAGTCCCCAAGCTTCCCTCTCAACCCCCGAGTCACTCCCCTGCTCCCCCCAACACAGACCCCCGCCACTCTCCCATCCCCAGGGTGATTCCCCCTAACATCTCTCGGCCCCTGGTGCTGTCACTCTCCAACCACCCCAACACTTCTTGGCCTCTGGCTCCTGCCCCCCCGCTCCTCATCCTTGCATTGCCATTGGCCTGCTGGATGACCTTGGGCAAGTCACTGCCCTGCTCTGTGCCTCAGTTTCCACATCTGTAAAATGATGATAATGCTTCCAGCCTCCTTTGTAAAGCGCTCAGAGACCCACGGATGAAAAGCGCTAGATAAGAGCCAGAGATTGTTGTTATTGTTCATCTATGGCCACACTGATGCCAGTTGCTCTGCTGCCTACACCAGAGAGATTGATTCCTCTGTAACGTGGCCTGGTCATTTATTCAGAAAAGAAGAGTTGCAGATCTGCTGGCAAACTACATCCCGGAGGACGAGGCGCTGCTGCTAAGGAACGGCAGGTGCGTTAGATCCATTCGACAGCAAGCGACGTGGTTCTGAGAAGACCGTATGCCATAAGGATCGGGTCAAATAAAATCCAACCTCAGCCTAAAGCCCACATTGAACTATGACCCTTTGAATCAGTTCAATTCATTAATTAGTGTATTTATTTATTCTGGGGACTGAAGCTGCAAAATTGGCAGTGTGGCCTAATGCACAGAGTACTGGAGTGGGAATCAGGACACTTGGGTTCTCTTCCCTGATCTGCTACAGGCCTGCTAGGTGTCCTTGGGAAAATCCCTTCGTCGCTCTGTGCCTCAGTTTCCCCATCTGTAAAATGGGGATAACAATACTGCTCTTCCTTTATCAAGCTCTACTGATGAAAAGCCCTAGATAAGAGCTAGCTAGGGGTTGTTATTTGTTATTAAATTAAGCTCTGGATTTCCAAGGCCCCAGCAGTCAGGAATGTTTTGCTCAGGCCCATTATAAAAATAGGGACGATCTGTAAAAGTTAGACCCAGATCCAGGTTTGGATTTCAAACACCAACAAAAGCTGGAATCTGGGCTGTATATTGAGGCTGATCTGGGTTTTTTTAGTTTAGTTTTCATTTTGGCTTTGCAGTTCCCACTTCCCTTCAGATGTAAAAGAGCCACACGCCCCCAAGAGAGCCTCTGGCTAATATTACACACTCAGACCGGTTGGCTCGGCATTCAGACTTTCGGATGTTTGTCAGAGAATGAGCACGGTCCAGTGGCCACGGAGCCAGGAATTTTGGGTTCAGTTCTTGACTCTCCTTGGTTGTCACTTACGTTGTCCTGACCTGTTTCCTCAACTGCAAACTGAGGACAACAAAACAGAGGGTATGTGGTCCAGCATCCAGAGCATTGGAGTGGGAGTCAGGACACCTGGGTTCTCTTCCCAGCTCTGTCATTGACTCATTGGGCAAATCACTCCGTTTCCCCATGGGTAAGATGTGGACAGTAACACTTAACCTGGCTGCCTGTGCTTTGAGAGCCTCGGCCAGTTAGATTCATAGAGGTCCTACTGCGCTGGGTGAATCTGAGAATCATGGTCATTTATTCTAGTGGATGTAACTAGTGTCTCTTCCAGCCCAGTGTTACCAACTGCGCTGTGTCTCTTAACGCTGATAAGAAGGGCTGGGGGGGCCCATCTGTCCTCGTAGGTGTGCGTGAGGGGGAGATGCTCCTGGCTTGATATGACTGTCTTTCCTCTCTCTCTCAGATACGCCTGCACAGTATGTTTCCACCGTCCTGTCTTCGACACGCTTGACATGCTGACGGTCCATAGGGCCGGCAAGAAACACGTCGCTAGTAAGTCAGCCCTAAGGGCTCAGTTGCTCAGGGAGCTGCAGACTCTGGGTAGTGGAGATGGTGCAGGAGGAAAGAAGAGTCCAGCTTCACTCCCAAAGCTCAGGGGCAGTTAGTGGTGCTGGGAAGTAGAAGAACTGTCTTATCACCGACAGAACTGCCAGGCTGGATCAGACCCAAGGTCCTTCTCGGCCAGTATCCTCAGTCTGACAGTGGCCAGCACCAGGTGCTTCAGAGGCAGGTGTGAGTAGCAGATGTGGGATAATCTGCCTCTCACATAGGTCTCTTCCTGGTGTCTAATAGTTAGAGATCAGCTGAAGCCCGGCTTGATCCCCTCCAGAACCTACGCTCTGGAGCATCAGACAATAGACATGAGCCCCATGATGCCATTTAGAGAGGTGCCGTTCAGGGGTGAGCTGCCTGGAGCTGTCTGTCTGCCTTGGGAGAAGGACAGACTGAGATGACCCAGCGAGGTTTGCACCTTCACACTGCTTGGATTGCTCAAAGCCATCCATCCATCCTCCTGAGACACAGCGGGAGGTGGCAGTCCGTGCCACCCCAAACCGCCAGCCCTTTGGCAATGTAACCTCGGCTGGATGGCAGACTGCTTGGCGAGAGTCTCACTGCCTGGATTACCTGTGTCTGTCTCTCTCTGTGTCCCAGGCCTGCAGACGTTCTACGGAAAGAAGCGGTCGCGCGAGAATGAGGTGCAGAAGTGGCGGCAGCAGGAGTTCCTGCGGGCAGAGGAGGCGGGCACGCAGGTTGGCACGTGCGCCCTATGGGAGCCCCTCCCATGACCTTTACCCGGCTGGCTGTGCTGAGCTTGTCTGTGTTTTCCTTAGGATCTTGCGTGCCCTGCACCCTTGCTGGCTCAGACCAGGAAGATTGCCCAGAATGCTTTGCTGAAAGCCTCTCCTTATAACAGCTGCTGCCGAAGAAACAGGTAATACCTATGCGTTCCCTGCCAGCGTGTGTCGAGGGTTCGCCATGGCGTCGGGGGATGATACGAGAGCCAGGCACTGCCTTGGCAAGGTCTTTGTTGCAGGGTAGCGCCACCATCTGCTGGACATCTGCCCGCAGCAGGCTTTTCTGCTCTGTTCCTCTGTAAGGGCCATTCGCCCAGTGGGTGTCAGTTAGCATAGCTTTGTGGACATCCATGGTACGGTGCTGATTTACCCCAGCTGAGGACCTGGCCCTGAACCCTTAAGCTGATCATTTCCTGGTGGGCCAGGCGCCGAGTGTAGTGGGAATAGTTTCAGAGCAGGGGATTGCAAGTCTCTTCTGTGCCTGCTTTATATTTCAGCAGCAGAACGTGTATCACGTGAAGGCAGCAGCTTTGAGAAGAGAGTGTGGGCTAATGGTCAGAGCAGGGGACCTGACTTCTGTTCCCAGCCCTAGGTGGTTAGGGCAGAGGACTAGGAGAGATGATGCGTGGGTTCTCTTCCCAACTCTGGGAGGGGAGTGAGGTCTGGTGATTAGAGCAGGGGGGCTGGCAGTCAGGCCTTCTGGGTTCTGTTCCCAGATCTGGGAGGGGAACGGGTCTGGTGGTTAGAACAGGGAACTGGGGGTCAGGACTCCTGGGTTCTGTGTCAAGCTGTGCCACTGACTTAGCCAATTCCCCTCCGTGCCTCAATTTCCCCATCTGTAACACAAGGATAATATTTATTTTCCTTACGTGGGGAGTTGTGCGGGTTACTCCCTGTCCAGAAATCACTTTGGGGTCCTCTGACAGATGGGGCTCTAGAGAGCAAGATACCATCCCTGGTTGTTACTGTGGCTGTGCCCAGCGGGCAGCTGGTCGCCACTAGTCTCAGGAGACCTGCTGTCTGTTTTAGGCCCGATGGCAGCGGCTCAAGCGTTAGTTCTTCTAGGACGGAGCCTGCTGCCCCCGCTGCCTTCGGGAGTGCCATTGGGAAGCAGTCAGCAGAGCCGGGAAGCTCCATGGCGAGAGGTGAAGAGGGATGTGCTGCTGTGGACACCCCCCACTCCACACGGCTTCCTGGACACGCCAGCCCTCGAGCAGGTACCAGCCTGAGAGGCTCTGGGGTCTTGCCCCTTCCACTGAGGCACCTGGGGACAATTAAATCGACCATTCGCCTGTCTCACTGCAGCGGCTCGTATGTTTCTGCAATCTTCGGGAAATTCCATTGCTGTTGTCTGCTGCTTAGAGTGGGGGGGCTGGAAGGCAGGACTCCTGGGTTCTTATCCCAGGGGGTCATTAGAGTGCGGGATGGGGCTGGGAGTCAGGACTCCCTGGGTTCTCTTACTCTCCCCACCATTTATTTGCTATGTTGCGTTGGGGCAAATCCCCAGGCCTTGGTTTCCCCCGGGGGGGGTGTGTGTGTGTGCATTCGTCGTTGTCATTCAGGTTTGTGAGCGGCGTTACAGATCACTGTAGAAATGCAAAGCGCCATTACCCCATCACATGAGCTCCCTGATCTCAGCCTCCCGTGAGCTGCCAGTTTGGCTCGGAACTAAGCGTGTCCACAGAGGTGATGAGCTCTCCGCGGAGGTGCCGGTGGGCAGCGATGCTCCATCCCGACCTTCCAAGGCCTCACGGCCTCATCTCATGCCTTTCTTCTCATTCTAGACTTGCAGAAGGAACCTGCTGCGAGGATCAAGAGAAGCAGCAAAAGAAAATCCTCCTTGTCTGCCCAGCCTGGAGCCATCAGCCCTGAGAAGCGCCAAGCCCTGGAGCACTATCTTCTGCTCAGGAGGTGAGCTGGCTTCTGCCTGTTCCCCGCAGAGCAGCAGGGTGCATCGGCAGGGGTCCGATCCCTGGGGCTGAGGGGTAGGAGCTCATCTCAACACTCAGCAAAGGGAAAAGCCCCCTAAGTCCCATCCAGCCCCTTGCTGGGGGCCAGCCCGGGGGTTTAACCTACCATCTCTCCTCCATGGCTCTGCCCATCTAGTTCTTGGGCTCTCATGCATGCAGTCCCGCACAGCGCTCCCCGCCCGTCCATCTCCAAATGCTTTACAAAGGGATGGCTTCACAGGTGGAGGGAAACTGAGGCACAGGGAATGGGATGGAGTGACTGGCACTGACAGAATTGGTTATAGAACCCACGAATCCTGGCCCTGTCAGTAGAGAAACCATCTCCTTAGCACCATCCTTCAGTCTTCTTAAATTGGCATCCACCCGCCCTGGTGTTTGTAACTATCTGTCTGTCCTTCCCTCAGCTCAGGCTGGATCCAGGACCCTTCCGGCAAGTGGGTGAAAGATGAGAATGTGGAGTTCGACTCTGATGAGGATGAGCCACCGTCCCTGCCGCCGTCCTGACTTCTCAGCCTCTGCCGGCTAGCGGGATACCCCCAGGAACCGGGCCCGGTACTGAGCTACGCTGACCATCTCTTGGGATGGGGCTGGCAGAGGGGGGCAGGAACAGCCTGTCTGCATCTTCCTATCCGGCCCCCATGGCTTTGATTTTGGATATAAATCACCAGGGAAGAAGGATCTTTCCAAACAGTTCCTAGAAACCCGCATCGCCGCTTCACTGTATCCACGGACACTGCTGGGGTCACTCACAGTGGGAGCTGCCATGTCGCCACCGCCACAGGTTCCCAGCACGAGGTCTGCTCTGTCTCTGGGGATGAGCACAAGGGTGAGATGCAGCTCTCGGCGGGACACAGAGGAAAGCGGGGTATGCTGGAGGAAGTCAGTGCTTCGGGCTCATCTAGCATCTTTCAACCCAGGATCTTAAAGCGTCTCCCAGAGGGAGGCAAGTATCATGCCCCTTTCGTGTGGGGAAACTGAGGCACAGACTAGCAGCAACGTCTATGTGAGTCAGTGGGAAAAGTCAGGATAGATCTCAGGAGTCCTGACTCCCTCTTATGTTCTGATCACTTTCATTAGGTGTATTACGGTAGCACCTAGGCACCCCAGCCGTGGATCGGGACCCCATTGTGCTGGGCGCTGCACAGATACAGAACAAAGAGACGCTCCCTGCCCCCCAGAGCTCACTGGACAATGCTCTCTCCTAACAGGCAATTCTTTGGCCTTTTTTTTCCTCATGTGGTTTTTGTTTTTAAGAAGTCGATCTGAAAATCGAATTGGCTTCTCCCTGCGCTGCGGGGGTGGCTTGGTACATTAAAAAGCACCACAGACGTCTTCTGTTCTCCTGCTTCCTGGGGCCTATTCTGCAGCAGCCCACTGGTGAGGTGACACCTTCCTATTTGCATTACATTTGACGCTTCATTTAAAAGAGATGTATGTTAGCGACCACACATAGTAACAAGGAAAAGGGTGGTGGTCTCTGTGAGGCATTCCGGGGCCTGAGCATGGGCTTAATTGTAAATATGGGAGCAGTCCCATTTGAAATCAGGGCTTCAAGTTAAGCACAGGTCTAAGTGCTTTGCTGGATCAGAGGGCTAAAATTATTATTATTTATTAGGTGTATTATGGTAGCACCTTAAAGCCTCAGTCATGGACCAGGACCCTCTTGTGCTAGGCGCTGTATGTTATGTATTAGGTGTATTACGGTAGTGCTCAGGCACCCTAGCCATGAACCAGGAACCAATGGCGCTAGGTGTTGGAAGTTATATATTAGGTGTACTATGGTAGTACTCAGGAGCCCTAGCCGTGAACCAGAAACCCATATTAGGTGTCTTACGGTAGCACTCAAGCGCCCTAGCTATGGGCCAGGACCCCATGGCACTAGGCACTGCACAGAAACACACCAGACCAATGTCCTGCCCCCCAGAGCTCCCAGGCTCCCAGTCGCTTTTTTCCTGTAGCCCTCGTGGGTCCTTAGACCCAGTGATAGAAATGCAGAGGCCGGATCATCTTCCTTCCTAGTCCGCGGTCAGACTGGGGTAACCCCACTGACTTCAGTGCATCATGCCTGGTTTGCACCAGGGGAGTGAGAGGTTCCCACTGACCCAGTTGAGCTTTCCAGGTCCAGTCGGCCCTCGATTTGCGCCCTGGCCCGTTCCTATCCCCATTCCCTGCCTCCCTGACCCCGTATCCTCTCTTCTCCAGATGTCCCGGCTCCTTGTCAGTTTCTAGCTGCCGCATGTGCTGGCAGATCTCAGAGCCTTGTGGGCCTTCAGGGCGTTGGAGCTGCTCACCCCAGGCCACCGCAGCTGTTCGAATCCTGAAAGTTCCCAGCTACCGTGCTTGCGCTGAGTTTCCAGCGCTCGTTAATACAGCTTGAACTCTGCCAGGCATGAGCATAGGGGGGCGAGCTGGCCAGCCGCCTTTCTGCTGGGGGCCCAGAACTTGCAGGTGGAGGGTCAGCTCGGGTCGTTAAAGCGACCCCGGCAAGGGTGGGAGCCCAAGGCCTCGACCCACCTGTTGAGCTGCTTGTGAAAGTGACGGGTCTCCTGGTCAGTTCAACAAGGATGGAGGCATGTGGGGCCCTTTCGCAGCCCCTCAAGCATACCTAGTTGGTTCCCGTCCTGCTTCGAGGAGCTAAGGAGGACGGCAGCTGGGGAAGGGGCGTGCGGATTGGCACCGGGTGTGGGGCCTCTGGATCGGCACTGCAGGGCCCCGGCTTGGAAAAAGGATTGTGAAGCTCCTGGCCCTGGTATTCTTCCGTGCAGCTCTCAGAGCCTCCCAGAGGGCGCCGTAAGCTTAGCTAGTGGGAGGTACAGCAGCAGCCTGGAGGCCTGCCGGCTCCCCTCTCCACTTCTACTCCTAGTGAGGTCCAGTGGGGCAGGCCTGGGCCTGGGCCACAGGGCAACCGGGCTCTCTTCCTGGCTCTGCTACTGACCTGCTCCAGGACCATGGGTGAGTCCCTTGCTCTCCCTGTGCCTCAGTTTCCCTGTGTGTGTCTGCTCTATTCAGCCTTTGAGCTCTTTAAGGCTGTCTCTCGCGCTGGGTCTGCAGTGCCTGGCGCGAGGGGCCCCAGTCTAGCCACCAGTCGGACAGTGATAAATCTAAATCCGGGGGTCAAGTTTCCTCCCTGGCAGCGTCCGCTCCACTGCACGTGCTGCTTCTGAGCCGCTACCCTGGGCGCTCTGCCTCCAGCGCGGTGAGCGGGCATGGGCTGACTGGCTGGATCCTCCTCCCAACCGGCAGGCCCCAAGTTTGGAGCAGCTGATTTGAGCTCCAAATGGCCCCGAATGGGCCACATGCACCCTCCCAGAATACAGGCAAAGCGGGGGGCCTGCCCTGGGGGCTCCAAGGCCACGGAGGGGAATCCACAGACCCTGTGGCCCTTGGCTTTGGGGCTGGAAGAGGCCTAGAGGAGAACTTCATGTTGTGAACCTCAGCTGCGAGGGGAGGGGGGTGCTTGGCACGATGCCAGAGCTGCGGTGGGGGGGCCTGCCTCTAGTCTGCCTGGAGGCAGTTCAGGAGCAGCTCTGCCCCTGCAGGCACCTTGTGGGCACTGCTCTGCCACGTTTCCTGGGCTCGGGTTGTGAACAAGGCCTTGGGGGGGCTGAGCCAGGCCAGTCTGGTCTCGGCTGTGGCTGCCCGTAGTTCAGGCTCCTGCCTATAAATAGGCAGCGGGTGTCAGGCGGCCATGCCCGCCGGGTCCCTGCGGGGGGAGGGCGTGCTCCCGGGATGAATCGCACCCAAGGGCTCTGGCAGCCAGGACCAGGGAGGATCATGGGGGCAGGTGCTGGTGCCAGCGGGGCGTGAAAGGGGCCCAGGCTGCAGGGAGAGGGGCCAGCCCTGGGTGCGGCCGGAGCTGGATTCCTCTCAGGAGCTTGGGGCCTGCGCTGACTGCGGGCATGGGGGAGTCACTGCCTAGAGAGAGCAGGCGGGCGCCGTCCCGGCTATGGGAGCAGGCGCTCCCTGCGTGAGGCTGGCATGATCTGGCTAATCCCACGTGAGACACTCCCCAGCCGCGCACACCCTGCTCGGCGTCCCTAAGGACAGCTGAGCCGCCTGCTTTAATAGGTTGTTTCCAGCTGCTAGACGTGTAAATTTTAGGGCTTATAAACCTTTCCGGCTTGGGGGGAGGGGTAGCGCGACACACTTGACTGATGGCAGCCAAGGGGACACCTGGGGGGGAAGGGAGCATTGTGGGTAGGATCGCAGGAGCCTTCGTCTAGCTGAGGAAGCGGAGAAGGTGGGGGGGGCGGTGCCACTGGCGGAGATAGGGTCTAACCCCGATTACTGGGTATGGGGGACTGTGCTGGCCTCATTCCCCTCCTCGAGGGTGACGTCCGCGCTATCCTGTAACCCGATCGCCCTCGCTCCGTTTCACGGGCTGATCCCAGGGGTATAAATACACCAGGGCACGGGGCGCTTGGCTGCGGCGCTGCCTGCCTGCCTGCGACCATTCCCCCGGCGGCAGCTCCGGGAGCCTATCGTGCCAGAGCTTAGCCACTGAGTCCCTGGCAGGTGCCAGCCTGGGTCCGTGCAGCGGTGGGCTCAGTGGAGAGGGTGGCGCCACAGGGCAGTGCCACTTTGCAGCTGTGCCAGCCCTGGACGCTGCAGGCTCCAGTCCCTGCCCCCGTGCCCAGCGCCGTTGGAGACAGCCCGGAGTTCAGTTGCAAAGTCCCCACACTTCTGTCTCCAGCATCCACTGGATCGCGGGCGCAAGCCAAAGCTGATGGCCTCCTCTCTGCTGTGACACAATGGCCCCTGCTCCACCTACCCCTACTTAGCCTGCCCCGGGGGCCAGATGCATCAGTCACTGCTCCAGAGGGCCGGGTGGGGCTGGATCCCCTGCGACAGGCGGGGCCCTCTCCCATGGTTGGCCCCTAGCGGCCCACGGGATACTTTGCTTTCAGAGTACCTGCCTCCGAGAATCTCAAAGCACGTTATAGAGGCAGGGCAGGATCAGCGGCCCCATACTACAGAGGGGGAAACTGAGGCACACAGGGGCCTTGCCTCAGGGTCACACAAGGAGTCAGTGGCAAAGCGGGGAATAGAACCCAGGCATCCTGACTCCTCCCCCACCTCTGAGCTAACCACTGGACAATGCTGCCTCCTATTTATAAAGCTCTTTTGAGCCTCCACCCTGATTTGCCCCTTACATGGGGCAGGACTCCTCGGACCCGCAAACGGAACCCAGGCGTCCTGTGCTGAAAGCATGTTCCCACTGGGGCTCCGCAGCAGTCAGGTGTGGCCACCACCCAGAAAGGGGCCGGGAGCCAGCCTAGCTCCATAGCCCCCTGCAGTGCTGCCCCCTGGTGGTGCCGGCAGGGAATTGCCTCTGGTCACCTGTGCAGGGACCCAGCCCAGTGACTGTCCTGGAGTGAAACTCCAGCCCCCTCCCCTCGCCTCCCACCCACCCCTATCAGTCATCCCTGCTCCTCGCGTCCTGGGGCCGCAGCCCTTTGATGCTGAGTAAGACGCACAAGTGGGAGCAGCGCCGCTTGTTTACGAGCCTGGCAGGGCTTAGCATGGCCCCGAACGTGCTTGCTGACTAATGCCACCTGCCCCCAGCAGCCCGTGGGCGTGACGGCTGCGGGGACAGGGAGGGAGCCAGCGCGCCATCGTTACCATATAAGCCCATCAGTCGGCGCCTGGCTTGGGGACTTCCCCTCTGCCAGCCCGGGCAGATCGGCCCTCCCCGCGCTGGCCCCTCTGTGGAGCCTGAATCCGAACTCCTTCGCCCCGGGGGTGTCTGTGCCCAGGGATCCCCAGGTCTGGAGTCAGAGTGACAATGGATGTATAGGGCCACGCCCCCCCCCCCAATCATGGCGGGGGCAGCCCCTGTCGGGCAGTGGGGAGAGGGCCGTAAGGAGCTAGGCTGGCTGGGAAGCCAGGGCCTGAGGGGCACCACCAGGAGTGAGGCTGCAGGGCTAAGTGCCCATGGGGGACCCCCCCACACCCACCAAGGTGCCTCTTGATTCTCAGCCCCTCCATTGCTCCAGGAGCTGCCCCGGGCGGCAGGTGTGCGAGGGGGCCGTGGGCCAGGGGGAGGATGAGGAGGGTGTGTGCAGGGGCCGGCAGGAACCGGGTTGGGGGAGGTGGCATCCTTGAAATGACCTTCCGGCCACAGGGTTTGGCGCGAGCTGGGATGGCTGGAGCTGAGGTTGCACTAGGCCCTGGACGAGCAGCGCTGGGGGGGTCCGGTTAGCGGCACACTCGAGGCAGAGCGCTCCAGGGGTAGGGCCCCACCACTAGCGCCACAGGGTCTAGGCCCTGTTCCAGTTGGGGGTGAGCTTGGGTAAATCACTTCCCCGCTCTGCACCTCAGTTTCCCCTCCCATCCCTTTGGCTAGTTACAGGGTGAGTGCCTTGGGGCGGGACCCCGAGCTCTCGGGCAGCCTCTAGGCACCACTGTAAGGAATGTAAGGGCTGGAGTCTGTGGGGGAGAGAGGGGAGGGGTGCAGGGGGTTGAGGGGTGGGGAGGGGGGGCTCCAGGGGCAAAGGAGGGAGGCGCAGACAGTGGGGGCGAATCCAGGAGCAGGGGGCCACTCTCCGGAGTGGGGAGCTGGGAGACTAGTGGGCAAATGGACTGATCT